GTTTGTTTGTTTTCATTTTATTTTCTTTCACATGTTCTTTAAGGACATGTAATAAATTAAATTGTAGGGAGCTGCACACGGTACCCAAATTTTATCAGATCGAAACTTTTCAGGTGTGTCGATTCTCGCAGTTTGTAATGGACACATCGACTTCGAACGAATCGCTCACTGAATTACCAGAAGTGTTCATTGCCAGTGTCGATCCAGATTATCTTGTTTGTTACAAACATCTGCCCGTTTTTTGGCGTAACATTTGATCCACTACCTTTCAGGTATTGAAATCTATGTTGAGACCTAAGAGAATAGCCCTCAGGGGAGGGGATGGTCGTCGTTATTTAATAATGTGCAAGCCAAACGACGAATTACGGAAGGATGCTCGTTTCATGGATGTAAACAGGGTGGGGATTGATTTTTTTGTTTACATTTTGATCAACATGAGAAAGAGTGCTCATTAGGGGATGACATCGAAGCTTCACACACGGCTCATGCATAATGTAGTGAGCATCATGCTGCGCATGATGAGGTTGCTTCCTAGTGTGCGATGTCTCATTCGTAATGTGAGATTAGAGTGTTCCTTTCGTTGAGCACCGGGCTAACAGGGCGTCTCCAGGCTGACGAGCTGATACTACGTCATCAAATGCACAATAACTTTTTCGTCCACTTTCTCCTTGGACAGAAATCGAGAGCGAACTCGGCATGAGTTGGGCTGAATTGAATGGGTTGGGGCATGCCTATCTCGGGGTCGTGATGTTGAATTCTGCCCAATGTTCTCCGAGGCTTTCTGCGCATCTGGACGGTGTATAACTCATATACGGTGTAACGTGAACAGCTACGTTCGTAAAGAGGGGGAGTAAGCAAAGTTAATTCTAATGAAGAGGTGCCAATATGTGAAGGTATAACTTGTTTGTATAATCGATATCGAAGTGGAGATGCGATGACAACAAAAAGGAGTGAGTGGAGAGTCAGTCAGAAGAAGCTCAAAAAATTGGGGTGAGCACGATTTGCTTGTGTATCATGTAGTGGCGATTATTTTTTCCAAAGGTTCGGAAACTACTCTTGTTAAAACAATTATCAAAGAAGTGAAAATGGGTCCAAAAATGAAGAAGCATCAAATGATACAGGATGGAGTCTTTTTGCTCCAGACATTGGTCAGTACCGATTCCGAGACCTACCACTGCCGTCGAATTCCACTCAGATTCGTAGAGGCGTCTTGAATTCGTATAAGGTCTATACAGCGACCTGCGATGGCGGTATGGTTGAACTGGGCGTCGATTCTGGATTTGATACTCGGACCATGCTTGTAATAGTACCCGTCACCTGCCACTACACTACCGATATGGTAGATTTTCAATAGCGGGTTTTTCGCTGCCCCCCCCCCCTTGAAAATGAAGTCACTCAGCATTCTTCGCTTCCTGTTTTCCATAGTGCCACTATTTTTACTGATTCTTAGAGTTTTGCTTTTTCATGTTTATTGAGTTCACGCTTTTTATTTTACTGAATTCCATCAACCCTAATGTTTTGACATTGTTTTGTATGGTTCAGATGATGAATAGTCTGATGAGGCAGAATGCGGACGCCCGCCGACGTCAACTTACGGTCCGGACGTTTAGCGTAATTCCTCTTCAGGTGAGACCTAGGTTTAAGCTTTATATTCAAAAATGTTTTTCAGCATAACACATGAAAGTTTCTCGCAACACATACCTTTATCCGAGGATGACACTAGATGGTCTAAAGATTATGGATGATTATTGCTAAGAACATTTACTTTCAAAGGGGATTAGCGAGCTCCTTGGCAGACTCTTCTGTCCAATCTCCTTTTTCTCTCGATCACTCTAGTTTTGCTTGGATATTCTTGTGTTCAATCGAACTTAGCCTCCTCAATGACTGCACAAAGCAGAGGTAGCACTATGGTTGCGAGGCACTGCCTCTTCAGTTCGGTGAGTCTTACTCCACATTCCATCTCCATTTAGGGGAATATGAATACAGAACCTGGTCATACCTTGCTGTACACCGGTAGATGTCCTATCAGATGAATATTCGAGTATTTCTACAAGTCTGGTCGTAGGTCGTACCTCAACGGATTGTAATGCCTATCACTTTGCCTTGCATACACAACAAGCTTTTAGGTTGATGCATAATTATTGCGGATTTTTTCGCGGCTTTTTTTCTCTCGATAGAATTCGAATATTGAGCTCGGACTTTTCCTAGAAATGA